TTTTTCACGTCTCTTCAGATCAAATAGATGAATATTTTCTACGAAAATAGGACTGCATCTATGCTTTTTCTTTACGAATATGTTATTTTTTGGGCATTTTTAACAATATAAATATCACGTCTTATTCCTACTTTGGCGTGCTTCATTTTCAGGATTTTAGCCCCGATTAGGAAAGAATTAAAACTAATATTAAAATACAGTTGATTCAACTTTTATTCCATGTGAAGTTGCATAGTTTTTCATATAGCATTCCTAGAAGAGGGTTATTTCATAGCTGATGTCTCATATCTTGAAGAGTAACGGCATAGATTGAATCTGCCGCAAATTATGTGGAACCACATTTTGTAATGAAAATTAACATGAAAAAATTGGTTGTACAAGAGGGATTAAGTAATTAAGCATAAAGAGCAAGTATCCTATCCAGAATGGTCCAGTTCCGTCCTTTTTGACATATCTATTGTTCAGAGAACTTGCTACGTTTATGTTTGATTTTTGGGGGGTGTGTATCATTTATAACCGCAGCCAGAAACAGTTGGTGGCAGTACATACAACACTTGATGCTGTACATATTTACAGTCTTCTCACATAACGTGGGGTCCGCGATTATTTTAATTACAAACCGCATTCCTACATGTGAGATGGCTGTCAAGAATGCTGTCAACAATGCTATACCTATATCACTTCTCTTTTTCTAGAGGGAGATGACTAGAATTTCTTTTCTACTTTATTTTTGTTTTATTTAAGGTTTGGGTTTGTTGGGTTAATTCTTAAATAAATGTTTTCTACTGTTGGACACCTGGAGCTTAACTACACCATACACTATACTTCAATGTAAGTATCGTGTCGTTGGCCCATGGTTTCGGAAAATTAGCCCTCGTGAACAATTTTTTTGAGTATTATAAGGATGACATTTTTAAAAGTTCGCATTTGTATTAAATTGGCTTCAAAATTTCTCATGTAACCATATTCTTTCTGGGTTAAGATAAAGCACATAGATGTGAGGGAAAAAAATGTAAAACCCTCAGCAGTATGAAGTGAAAGTAGCTCTCTGGAGTGAACTCCAAAATTTGTTTACTTGTTTGCTTTCAATTTCCTCTATTTTGTATTGTTATTACTGCTCTTGATGATGCATAATTAATCATCCAATCCATTTGTCTTGGGTTCAAGAACATAACTGCTCTCATTTTATATATTATAGAACTTCAATTATCGTTTAAAATAATAATAATAATAATTGAAAAAAAAAAAAAAAAACAAATCTTCAAACATGGTGCAACTAGAAATGTGCATTATATTCAACCTTTTTACAATCACCTTCATTGACCTCAATTTTCATATAGTTCATGTAGCCAACAAATTATGACTCCACTCACGTCCACGTGATATTTGTCCAACATATTTGAAAAAATTGTTAAAAGCAATCAACAAAGGTAGGGGAGGCGACTGTGAGCACTCCACGATCAAGTCAATCAACTTGTATAAATATATTTGAGTGTGGATCGAACAAAAGACGTGAACTACACAGTCTACAATAGTGTACGAGCATCGAAGGTAATAAGAGAAAAGTGAGAGCAACATTACTAAGGGAATGTAAAATTGCATTACTTTCAAATGACACTAAGTATTAATTTTTCTAACAAAAGATGATGAATGATTACCATTAGATGAAAAAACATGTAACATCATCCTGATGGCTGAGGCATCTTCTGCTAGATGATTATCACTAATAGATAAACCCTCACAAAAGGAAGCCTTCTTCATCTTCTACGTAAGCTGTACAGAAATGAGTCAAACCAACCCAATTCAAGAACAATGAAACTTCATCAGGTCTTCATATCCAAGTACAGATAATTCACATTTCGCAAATATGTCTATTTCACCAGTGTCAAGATACAAGATCCAGCCCTTAGCTGAGGTTTTTCTCAAGCCATGGGTCACAAAGTAAATTGGATACTATCGTGCTTTCGGTCCAGTAGACTTCATTTTACACTTACAGAGTACACACTATAGTCCTAATGCAAAAGATTTCCCTGTAACTATCATGCTTTTGGTTATAATTTATAGATAACTAGATTTCCCTAACTTCAGCATGAAATAGAATCTAATGCTGGTACTTCAACAACATATAGACTATAATATCTTTAAATTCAACTCGATCTTTTTAGTAAAGATTTGGCAGGGTCATATAAAAAACAATTATTTTTCTCCACATCATTGGGGGAAAATATGGTAATTCAGAGTTATAAAAATCCATGGCTGCGAATAATTACACAATTTTCATCTCCAAATAAATCATACAAAATATTTTATTTTGTATAACTAGCAGGTATAATCCGTGGCTCTGTTTGATTCCTAGTTTCTCAAAAAAATAAAATTTTTTCTCTTCTTTTTGATCATACATTCTTTACTAAAATAATATTACACACAAACGAAAAATGTTGCCTTATTTTTTAGCCACACATTCTCCAATCGAATCACTTGTTCAAAATGTCTTTTTTTTTCCCTAAGGGGCAATACTTCAAATATTATCCCACCAAATCATTATTTCAAAAAATATCAGACATTCTAAAACATACATACAAAACAAACAAAAATGTGTATCTTAGCATGTAATAGGCACACTTACGCCTACATAAAAATGTCAATAACAACTTATTCTTCCAAAACAAAAAATTCTCTCTATTTATTAGGAACATTAACGTTTAGAAAAAGCACATAATATACTTTTTTTTCTAGCAAAAACCGTGAACACAAGAAAATATATTATCAAGAATGCTCTAACAATCAACAAAACTTTCAAAAGAGATCAAATAATAATAAATTTGCAATTTTTTCCGTCCATTCTTCATTTCTGATGGTAGAATCTCTCTATACAGAGCTTTACATACGGATTGCAGTTTATAAATGTGCAAAACCCCAATAAAAGTATACCAAATAACACAATGTCCCGAATATCAACATGTAAATTTAACTACACGCCCGTCATAAAGATAGGTTGTATCCCCATCTCTAAAACATTAACACAAGAGCACACTTTTGCAAAGCGCATAAGACGTTCTTCGCTAATTCCTGGTGATACAAAGATGGTTCAATTCATTCAAAGTGACCATACAAGAATAAGATGATTAATGATGAACAACGAAAACATGGCCCTCATAGGATAGTAAACCAACAAGGATGAGGTTAAGACTCTACATTTCTACGCATAACTTGCAGGTACCCCATTCTAAGCAATTAATCACCAGTCAAACTTTTATTTTCCACCCATTCACACATGATTTAAAGGCCAAGTGATTTTTTCTAACCAACTTGGAGGTTTCCATCATCAATCTTTCAATTAAGAGAATGTAGGAGGCTTGACGTTTGGAGCAAAATCATGAAATTTTTACTAAACCAGTATACACTTAGATACCTAAGTTGTGACCTATGATGCTCGGACTTGGGTACAAGTATCGGGTACGAGTACGTATCTAAGTATCGAACCTTTTATTTTCTAAAATGTAGGACACGGAGACTGGCTAAAAAGAATCAAAATTTTGGACATGGGTATGTGAGTACGTCTTTGAAACTTCAATTTTTTTACTGACTCAAGATGTTATTTTGAATAGACCAGAATAAATTGTTCACAAACAAGAAAACAGTATTAAATAAAGGATTAAGACAAACAAAATAGAATTTTGGGGTTTAGTTTTCAATTATAAGAAATTAATTACTAAATGTTATATAAAATAATAAATGAGGAACTTGATTGCAACTTGAATTTAGTAGAGTACTAAATAGTATTATATGGAACCCATTTTCATTTTATACAAACAAAATTCTAAACCATCGATACAGAGAGAGAAAGAATGAAAAAAAATAGAGAAAAGAAAAGGGAAAGAAAAAAGAACGAAGAACGGAAAATTTAGCGCTGTCGCCTTTTCCCCCCCTTTTGGAGGTGGTGCTAGGTTTATAGAGATTAGAAAAGAAAAAGAGAAAAAAAAATGAAAAAAGAAAGAAGGAAAAAAAGGCGAAGTATCCGGTTGAAACTTGGAGAATCCGACACATATCCCATATCCATACCCATGTCGTGTCGTATCCAACACGGGTACTCTAACCATTTCTAAGAGTTTGAACATCATAGGTGGTGACTACAGCTAGAAGCAAAGGATTGGGATTGTAATTTCAATCGTGCGTTCCCTTAAAAGCCCCTGTAGTCTGGTTCTCTTATTCGAATGGGATTATAAGAAATACTTCTACCGCATCCTTCTGTAATAAGTTGCTGAGTTCCACCCCTGCCTTCATCACGCTCCTACCCCCAACTTCCTGTGACCGGTTGCTGAGTTCTGCCCCAGCCTTCGATGCACACCTCACCCCAATCTCCTGCAATGGATTGCTGAGTACCTCTCCAGTTTTCAGCATGCACCCAATCCTAATCTCCTGCAATTGGTTGCCTAGTTCTTCCCCAGCCTTCAGCATGCAACCGATCCCGACCTTCTACAGCAGGTTCCCGAGCAGCCTCGACCCCACCCCAACCTCGTAAAACAGGTTCTTGAGTTCCACCCCAACCTTGTGCAAAGGGTTCTAGAGTTCCACCCCAGCCTTTGGCATGGACCCCACCCTGAAGCCCTGCACCAGAGTGCTGAGTTCCACCCCAACCTCTCATAAGTTGCTGCCCATTTCTGGGATTAGAAGGCATAGCATATTTTGTACCTTTCCAACCATCATCAAGCATCTCTCTCCAGCCTTCCGTAGACTGAATCTTTTTCGTCCAGCCAGTTTCAAATGGCATAGCTCACTCGACTTGTCTCCAACTCCCTGAAGGCATTCCTGCACAACCGTGCATGGATACTATTCTCTTCGTGGGGATAGGGTCTGGAGGCAGAGCTTGCTTTCTTGCTTCCTCACCTTCCCCATTTCTATTTCTTTTTCTCTGGTTAGATTGAGAGGGATTACTACGCAATGATGCAATTTGGTGAGAATTTGAAGTACCTGTTTGACATAAGGTAGTGATGCCATCATGGCCAAACAAAAATTCCTTCAATTGAACTTCACCAATCTGGCCATCCATGAAGGACAAGACGTACCAGGTAGAAAGGTTAATACATTCATAGATCTATTTTATTTCTGCTTGTCCTACTGCCCTAGCAACATTCTGAGATGGATCACTGAAATCCTCAACCTTTGAAGATTAAAAATTACTATATATTTAAAAATTTTCCAAGAGCATAAAAACTCAAGCAACAAAGTGTAATTACACTGATACAAGCAACTTTAGAATTCCATGTTTTGGACGTCCAAGATCCTTCGTATGTGCTTACATAGAGACCTTTTGGCCACAGATTTTGGACAGATGATAACTGCAAAGGTAACAGAATAAAGGTCAATTTCGGTTAAGAAAAAAGCACCACCAAAATAAATAACTTAATTATCACCGAGGGTGTAAGCGCTACCTTGATCAGCAGAGTCACAAAGAGCTTAGCCAATGATTCTTTATTACTTTTTCCATAGTTTACAAAATTAGACAGTGACTTCTTCACTGTCGCAGGATCAGTACCATCTACATACAGCACAAAAAGCCAGTTAACATCGCAAAGATGACCAAGAAACAAGAGCTCGTGAACATTAGATTTGTAACATTCTTTGAGTCAACAAAAGTCAAAGACCGAGAAGCAGAGTGAATAGTGTATCCTTTATCAATAACTATTACAAATTATATTGAATTACTGGAGTTGCTGCAACAGTTTTAGGGAGTAGTGTTCTAGATTCCAGGCTATCGAAGAGGGCTAGGACCTTTTTTCAGTGACATGTATGATGACAAAGAAAGGGGACAGAAGTCCTTGTACATAGTAGTACCAAAGCTCTAAAACCCAAATTTCCTTGAAAACTCACTTGAAAGGATACATCACTACATTAGCCATACCTTATGTAAAAGAAGGAAAAAAGATTCTACTGCAGCCGTCTGACTCCCAAAGAATTTGGAGTAAACTACATAAATCCTCTTTTGTCATTCCATTTGGTTTATTGCTAGAATGATAGAGCTACAAAAAGATCCAAAGTAAATAGATACTTAGCAACCACAACAAACCATTTCCTCCCATTCTAATCAATTCTACTATGTTTACATCAATCTTATGAACAGGATCCCCTTTAATTTTACACAAAGACGTGTTCCAACCATTTAAGTCATCTCTTTCTTAATTGGTCCTCAACGGTGTGACATCCATTTGTTGCCGTATATTCTCGTTTCTTATTATATCCATTATAATATGACCACACATCCAACTTATATTCTCATTTTCACTATACTCATCTTATAGACATTGTGTAATTTAGCAATGTGAACTGAGTACTATAAAGCATTACAAGTTTAATACCATTCTGTAAAATACAAAGATCCCCCTATTCTGCAAATAGCTATTTTAATGAGCTTATTATGTAAAGATGCCATAGTTTTTCCAAACAAAAATTGAAGGAGAATAATAAGCTCGTGTCATTGTCTGATACCATATTAAACTAAAAGCAATTGAACTCAAAGGCACCCTCCACTGTTTAGCCAATTGAACTGTGACACATATTTGATGGCATGAGAAATGCCTCAAACATGACTTCTAACACTCTTTGGGTCTGTCCATATTGAAAACTCACTCTAAACAACATAGATATGTAGCTAATATGTGATAAAACTAAGAAATTAAACATGACTTTGTCAAATGAAAAACAATTATATCACAAGCTCACAAAAATATTGCATTTGAAAGTAAAAGTTGAAAATGTTATTTAGCACGGAACAATGCAAGAAATGTAGTCAAAATCAATTAACTAAAAAACAAACGGAAATACCTTTGAATATAGCAGAAAATGGAGGTAATATAGGTGGCTTCCGAGTCTGCTATAAACAAAAGATGGGAGAGACATCAAATTGAAGTGTATTTAAAGGTAGAATGTTAGTACATAATGGAACACACCCAAATCTAATGTTGGTACACGTTCACCACAAACCAGACAACCAATATATGATTTGTTTATGTGGTATGTTAATATTTGTCTGTATTAGAGACATAGTTACAAGTTCAAATGATGTGACTAGAAATCATGACCAACAAATAATGAAAGATTGAATAACATTCATTGCCCAATTAAACATAAAAAGATAGTAGATTGCATATTAAACCTACATCAAATGAAAGATGTATAAAATCTAACTCTAAACATAACGTGCAAGGTCGAGACAAGTTTCAGGCGAGATGACATCCAGTTTCTTTTTAATTTAACAAGTATTTACTCTCTCTTCCACAACCCAATCCAACAAGAAAAAATGTTCCAAGGTTCTTCTAAGCTTATTAAGTTGCATTTAAACAATTTTGCTACAGGGCAGTAGCAAATAATGAAATATATCCAGAAATGAATGTTGGTATGAGTTCAGAACAAATCAGCACTGTTAAAAAGACATGCCATATTTGTCTACAATGTACAACACGCCGTAGATGTGACCAGGAAATTATGTCCCCCAACTAATGGAAGATTAAATATCATTTACCACCTAGTAAAATATAAATAAGATTACTCCAGCCGCACGTTGATTATGAATCAAGATAAACAGTGAACAGATGTGTAGAATTTAACTCTAAAAATATCATGCAAAGTTCAGAGAAGTTTCACCACACGACAAATTTTTATCTCTTTTACCTTTTTGACACGCATTTACCACCCCTACCCCGATCCAACACCGAAGCAACATTGCAAGGTTCATCTAAGCTTCTTGAGATGCATTCAAGAAAAACTGCAACATAATCTAACAATAACATACCACTTATAGATAAACAAAATTTTATACTGGAGCACAAATAATTAAAGAAATTGTTAAATAGAAGGAATCGATAAATTACAAATGTCTAAAACTTTACCTGCAAATGAAAAGCAACCAACAGTATTATGAAGAGAGAATTCAAGGTTTTATCTTTTGAACTGTTAATGTTCTGCACTTTTGCCCAGGTTTTCATCTACTGAGATGGACAGTGCCAATTAGATAACATAGCATTGATCATTATATTTCAAGAAAAATAAAACTACACAAGATTTTTAAGCATAGCAATCTAGTAGACGTCTAAGGAAAACATGTACGATCATCTTTGGATGCATTTGAAAATTCAAATTCTAACCAAACATAAGGAAAAATGGCAAGCAGTATTCTGAATGGATTGGTTTGGGAAGGTTCGAGTGTTTTAATGCCTGTTAGTTATGTTTCCACAAATAATATTTTGCAGACATCTATCACGTTAGCAGTGTGTCAGTCACGATGTTCCAGAGACACTCCCATTATTTTAGCATGGTCTGGTTCAGGCTCCATTTAACAATTAAGCTTCATCTGCTGAGCATTTTCTGGAATCTCTTAGAAAGATTTATAATGTAATTACACATCTATTAGATATACCTGATCTTATTTTAGTCTTATGATATCGAAAGTCTATTACTCCTATAAAGTGATACTTTCATCCGGGGTTAAGAGAATTATTTGACTAAAAACTATTTGCTCGACTTCCATTAGAGTTATATTTAAGTCTCTGGTCTCACATCCTCCGTGATCTTATTTACTGTTCATGCTCCCAATTTCTTTAACTCAAAACCAATTAATACATAACGGTTCAACATTTTGCTTCGAGGGACTGTGGAAGGGCAGTTATTGGTGAAAAGAAAATTGGAAAAGAAGTGTCAGCATGCTGTATAGAAGGAGCTCCAAGGATTTCGCTTCAGATTTTGCAAGGTGAATGGACTATAAACAATATATGACCTCGTAAACAACGAAATCCATAAAGAATATGAAAATCTTAAAGACACAGGAAATATTATTTAAATAAACCCCAGGGTAAATGAGATGGCTAAGATATTACTTATACAATAGTTTGGCCTTAAGCCAAAATCAACTCCCTTGTGAAATACCTAGAGATGCTTACCCGAGCTTGTCATGCTCGCATATCTTGTTATGTGATCCAATGCACGGTTTTAAAATGTGCCCGAGACTTAAAATCTTAAAGACTTGTCAGGCTTTCGATAATTGCTTCAAAACATGCACAATGGTGTAAGTTGTCAAGGCTTACGATTCAACTTACTAAGAGGGACATGGCTCAAGGCATAAGTCTCAAGGCAATTGAGGTGTGCAATCTTTCCTCTAGTTCCAAAAGCAGAGTATTTAAATGATTCTTCCCCTTGATTGTAAATCACACTCTAGAGATCCGCAGAGAACCAATTTCAATTTGTGATGGTGCACAGTCCTATTTATGGATGCTAAAACCCCGCAAAGAAAACCCTATGATATCCTAAAATATGGCTTAGTTTGTAAAGTAATCATATCGATTCTAAACTGCATGTTCATTGTGACTTCATAAAGTGATAAAATGCTTAACTGAAACCCAAAAGATCCACTTTACTATAGTAAATTACTACCGGTTTACCAACTCTACAATTAGAAACTACACTAGAGTTTAACTCCTAAAGGTACCCAAAAAGGAGAAACAAGAAAATTCCAATAAAAACACTAATATCATATCATGTAAACTTGATAATTTTTTTTCAAGGCATCCTGGATCATCAAAATCCATTTTTTCTCTTCATCCTAACTCCAAGAAACATTTATAAGTAATTGAGCTTTCTACAAGACAACTAATGAATACTGTTATATCCCAAGGACACAATTGACTCTCTCAGTTTTCCAACTTGTTGACCCATGTATACTCCAGATTTGGAGGCTTACTTTCTATTATATCAGCTGAGAGCCTTGAGCATTGTACAGGGACATGCCCATTACCTTTGGGTGGATTTGCCATAACTGTAGGCCAGTCTTATAGATTATGTAAGAATAATGAGAGGAATACCAACAGACCATCTAAAAACTTATAAATCAAATGGAAAAGGTATTAAATAATGTTCACTGCAACTATGCCCGTAAGAGCATTCTATTGGGAATAATATTGAAGTTAATAAAATTATCATGCTACAAATTAAACAAAATATAAAAGCATCAGCATACACTTCTATTTCGGACTGAGAAGGATGAGATGGAATCTTGACAAATGAAGCTGAAGGTTGAATGATGAAATATAGATGTATAAAAGAACGAAGAAATCGAACTTTACCAAGAAGCTTAGCTTTTTAAACCTTTCATCAGTTGAGGAAATTAGGTGGATAATCTGGGATTTTAAGATTCCATCCCTATTTTCAACTGATATATCACATTCAATTCCAGTTCCTCAATCAACAACTTACAGAATAGGCACCTTGGCAGTTGTGACTGGGAGAACACCAGAAACATGCCCTTTACCTGGAGAATACCAATACAGATATAAGATGCATCCAAGTACCATTTCTTATTTTTTGATCAAGAATAAAAGGAGAATTAAGAAGGTAGAAACAAGAAGTCTTCATTAGTAATTGCAACTACTATTATAATTCTAGTGAAAGCCATCTACCAATCCATGGAACTTAACCAAATAGAACATAAGTTACCGCTTGAAGGAGCTACTTCTCAACACTACTTAGTTTCCATCATATCTTTTGATAGGAAAAGATTACAAAAATCGGAGAACTAAAATAGTAAGAGAGACAGAGAGGATCAGTAAAACTTAACATAGAAGTTTGATGAAGAAGAAGAAGAAGAAGAATTCAACAAATCAGGAGCTATTTTTTAAACGAACCCATAGAATTCTGAACAGCCAAGTAAAGTACCATTTCTCACAAAATGCCTGAGATAATCTTCACCTGAAATAATAGCAAGCATAACCACTCAAATGCCCCAAGTATTGTTACAGAACCCCCAATTATCTTCTTATCATGTAATTATTAAATTTCTAAATTTATTCTTTCATCTTAGGCTTATTGTTATGCCTAGAAATGATAAGAAAGAAAATATAATATCTCAAATGATCTTTGCCTCTGTTAAATATTACCCAGTCTTAGATTTATTGTTATGCCTAGAAATGATAAGAAAGAAAAGATAATATCTCAAATGATCTTTGCTTCTGTTACATATTACCCAATATATGCCTATGAAATCTAGAACATAAGTTCTTGACTTACAAGATAGAGCTCGATAGAAGCCAAAAAATATAAGTATATTATCATTGCATCAGTGAGCTAAAAGTAAAACAAAAAATTTTACAGAATTATAATGGACTAATGATATACACAGAAATTCCATAGGAAAGTGAGATCCACAGCTCCTCGTTTTTTCCAGTTAGTCAATTAGATTTCTTACATCCTTCAAACCCTATTTAAAACTCATTGTCTTCAGGATAATCATAACGCTGTTGTTTTCCCACCATGACCTTCAACTTTTTTCTCTTGTAAATTTGTCACAGGATACAGGTCATGAATATTATGGATCTAGCTTTCACTATACTCTTTTTTATTTTTTTTCCCCAACTGCTCTTTCCATGGCTTTTTAACTAAAAATGCCACCTAACTATTAGAAATGGCCAACTACACATACATTTGCCTAGAAGATAAATATACCTCTGATTTCTGAAGCCTAAATTACCTTCAGAATTTGCAGTTTAAGAAATGAACAAGTTCATTATAATTATATAAATAATAAATTATGAATCAAAACAAACCAGGAAAAATACAATCTAAAATTTTTACTTTGTAGAGCATATAGTTTCTTTGCAAACTTCCTCAGAGTTTGAATCTTCTTTTCGCGTGGAAATTAAATTGCATTAGAGCTAAAATTCACAGAGAGATCTAAATCACTTGTTGTGCTAAAGAGATCCATTAAGAAAGAACCAAATTCCACCACAACGGGAGTCACTTTTGAATATCCTGAAAAGAAAAGGATCAAAAAACCACCATGATAAGAATGTAATCCATAAGATAGGCAGATTTCTCTGGTCAACGAATAATCATCTCGATAAAATAAAATGCAAAGCATTGTGAATAAAGATCCACGATTATTAGAAAATTAAAACAAGAAGCAAATATAACAAAGGGAATTCCTTTCTAATGTTGAGGTAGTGTAAGTAAATTCAGCATGAAGTATTACCATATAACTCCTTTGCAATTTCATTAAACGCTAGAATTAAGTCCCTTCGAGATTCATAATCACTCAGTTTTGGGCGCCGACTGGCATAAACATCTTGAAGAAGTTGCTCAAGAGCAGATACACGTTCCTTTGTGACTGCTGGACCCTGTAATTTCTTCAACTCAAACTTCTCTGCTTTCTTTTGCAAAACTAAAGGCATAGCACAAAAAGAGTAAGAGCTCTTGTAACTATGACATGCAAAACATCAACACCTGTAGCTTAGCACTTAGCAAGATAAAAAAGCAATTGTGTAAACGCATTAACCCTTTGTGATATCTGTAAACTCATGAAATTTGTTGAGAAAAAAGGAATTTCACCTTTTGGGTATGTTTTTACATCTATTAGCTCCAATAAAAAAACTGAGTTTGAAAAGGTAAAATTTCCTCAACTCGCCAATCCAACCAACTGAAAATCTCTTAGACATATCCTAGCAGAAGTGCCCACAAATTCGAAATACCGCACAGTCATTTACATACAGAGATATATGTTGAACTAAAAGGTATTTTATTGTGACTTTTTCCCTCGTTAGCACAAGTTTGGTCTCCAATTAATGAATCATGAGTACAACCTATCTACATATCATTTTAAGATTAACAACAAGGTTTATTTACTGCTTCAGGAGGATCGCCAACTACTAGCTAGCCAAAAAAATTGAAATGGAAGTTCCTTTACTCAAATTGACACAGGGACAGGAGCCATTGCATGGCCAATTTTCAGTATAAATATATATGCCCATGACAAAGTCAACGTAATTTGATCTTCTAATTTTTTGTTATGCTTATCCATTAAAGTATCATTGAAAATTATCTCTTGTTTCCAGTATGACAAAAAACATTTCTTCTTATGTTTTACTTTCTTTACTTTGGATTTCAAGCTAGTCAACAGACAACAAGATCATAATAATCATTCTTGGTATTCAATGATCAAATTTTCTTATTGCAAGCTTATACTTGGAGACAACAAAGTTATTATCAACAAACTCTTCTCACCTAACCAGAGTTTTTTTCCTCCTAAATTCAGTGTTTGATGCTCAACAAGGAGGGAAAATGACTATTGAGGAGGAAGATATTTTAGTTTGCATGCATTTATCCTTCTAGGCGAGACTATTTATAGATTTCCCTGAGGGTCTTGAGGGCAGTTGGGCCCTTTTATTAAATTCATTCCTGTCATTTAATGGTGGGTTTCTAACTAATTCTGTTAGGTACTCACATTTTATTCACCGTCTTACGTCTCCTTTATTCATTGGCCTTGAAATAATACTTTAAACACTTAACCATGCGTATTTTAATACCGGGTTGAAGAGTTTCTTCCAACGTGGAATTTTATGGGTTCAGTTTTGCGTTTCTTCTCTGTGAGCTTTTATGCTTAAACTTTTACTAGCTCCACATCTTCAGGTTTCGTATAGAAAGGTTATGAGCTCGCTTGTTCCTCTTAATTTTCTTATTCAACAATACTCATAAACAGGAACGTTTCAAGAATTTCCCCCTTTAAATAAGTGAACCTTTTTCAACATTTTTACATATACCTAAAGTATCCTAATCCCCCTATTTATACAGAACAATAAACAGATATCCAAGACAAGGGAAATATCGAAAGCTACATAAAATTGAAAGCCCAATTCTCATACTGAAAAAAGCATTGCTGTAGGCATTCTTTGACTTTGAGAAACCATTATTATGAGAGAAGATTCAAAATTCACAATTTCGTCAAAAAAAAAATAAATAAATAAATAATAATAATAAATAAATAAATAAATAAATAAACATTAAAATTACTGATTTAAACCGAAAAACTGATCGCGTGTTTCCCAAACAATTGGGTTACCAATTAAATTCAGCACATAAATATCAAAATTTAGGCAAATAAGAAAAAATCTCGCCTTATGTTTCTGCATGTTTATAAACAGAGTAAGGCCACATAAAAATACCATAAGTTACCATATATTGGTACCCCCCCCCCCCAAACAAAATTAAACTTTTGCAGGCAACGCCATATCTCCAGAAAATCTGCAACTTCACTGCCCAAATTAATTTAACAAATGAAAATCATAAAGCAATAACTTCAGCAGAGATCCATTCTTGTTTTCTCTTCGTGGGGTTTTCTGGAGAGTGGAGAAGAAGCGAAGGGTCCAACGTCCCCTTTGATTTGATTTCAGCAACCAGTAGCAAACGGAATACCTCGGCCCGTTATTGAATTGACCTCGTGCGTATTACATTGAAAGTACAACAAGGCTTACGTTTCAAACGCCAGTCGGATTTGGACCGCATGTTTTATTCTTTTTCTTCATTTTTCCCCCCTATTTATTTGAATAAATTGATGGAGAAAGTAAAAATCTAGAGTTCAGATAAAAAGGATACTTTTTGTGGGATAAAAAAATATTGGTAGATTTTGAAAGCAGCCAATAAGATGTATTCCGTGTTTGTTGTATATTGGCCTCGTACTCCTTTTCTTTGGTATATTTTGTTGTGTTTTACCATTGTAGTATTTCTTTTTTCGGGGCAAAGTCATTTCTTTCAAATGTTTTATTAATATCAAGTCTATTTTCCTTCGAATGGTTTATCAGTACCAAGTCTACCAATTTTTATTTAATGATTTGCATTATGATTCAAATCTTGTAATGAACTGAGAAGTGTTTCTAAAGAAAGGTAATTTGAATGATTTATGGAAGTTACAATTATAATAAATGCAACCCTAATACAGATGTTGGCGTGAATCTTAAGGGGAATGGGCCTAATTAAGAGGGTCAGTAATTTTTGTCGATGTAGTTCCATCTCTTTTTATGAAGACAAATCACATTTTATTTTTTATTTTTTTGTTTAGTTTGTTCACTTATCCTTAACTTAAGTCTTTGAGAAAAAAAACTCTAATTTAAAAAAAAAAAAAAAAAAAAAAAAAAAAAAAAAAAAAAAAAAAAAAAAAAAAAAAAAAAAAAAACCACACACACACACACAACTTTATTTACAATGTGAGAAGAAGTAAAATGAAAAATATTGCATATTGCCACTTTTACATGAGCATATGTTACAACTTCATATGCTTTAGAATTTTAAGTTCGTACAACTAGAACATGATACGCAAAAATGTATCTTCATTTATTATAAGAATAAGCATAATATCGAATTCCCAGTGAACTGATATAGTTTAAAAGGACAATTTAAATTTGCGTAGGATCGGGAAAAAGAAAAGATAGTTCTTTCTATTATATTATGTTAGATTTAGTTAATGATTTTCGACTCATGAATCTTTTTTTTCGTGATGAACGGTTGGCACCAGTTCAAGTAGTTTATGTACCTCCCGTGCTATAATATTTTCAAATTTATATTCTACTATTGTACTATCGAGAGGATTAGTTGGCTAATTAGATTTTTAATTGCTTGGGACAAGGGAACATCTTTTCTATTATATTTATTTAGTATCAGCTAGTGATTTAAGTTTCAAATATTTTTTTTTTTTTCATTTTTTTTTTTTGAGATAAATTGTTTACACATGTCCAAGTAGTTTGTGCACCTCTCTTGCTACAACATTTGAACATTTAAACATTTAGATGTTATTACCAGCCTCCAAGAGGAACAAGCTACCAAAGGGATCTATTTTGTCAAAATAAGTTATTTTAGTCCTTATAAAAATTCAATCATGTTATGGGTACATTGTAGTATCCAAAAGGGTGTCCAAAATGGACACTCGGGGCCTCGGCCAATGCAGCGTCCTTTGTACACCACAATGTACCACAAGCATTTTTCATAAAAATTATCATATTCATTTTTTGTATCATTTCAGTGGCATGGCCTTGTGGCAAAGCAGGGAATTATGAATCCTTTATTCCAAATCAAATTCGGGTGTTGCTAAATCAACTAAAATAAATCAGAAGAGATATGTCGAATAAATTCTTCCCTTTCCTTATTTAGGAAATACTCATTTGGAAATTTTGAAGAATATATAAAATTACAATGTCAAAAGATTGTAATTTACATATTTTATAAAGTGAATTAATTAAAAAATATCGAAATATGACAATAAATAGAGATAATATTTGAACAGTAACATTCAAAAAAGTATTGGAACTTTAATGTTGCATATAGAGACAAATATCTTATATTATTCTTCCAACAAAAAAAAAAAAAAATGCCTTCCTATTCTAATTGGAACATTAACATTTCAAACAAGCGCGTTTAGTACTTTTTTTTTATAGAAAAAATGCTAACATAAGAGATTTTACAGAATATCAACATATAAATCTAACACAATGTACAAAATACCAACATCTAAATTTAATTACACCCATCTCATAAAGATAGGTAGTATCACTATCTCGAAAACATTAACACAAAGCAAACAATTTCGCAGCGTGAGTGAATGAATTCTTCTAAGCTAACTCAGAGTAACACAAAAGATGATTCAGTTCATTCAAAGTGGGCATACACAAGAACATAAGATGATAATGAATGATGAACAATAAAAATATAGACCTAATACGCTGGCGCCTCCAAACTCGACACCAATAGTTGTGAAGTGAAGATAGGGACTAAGTGAGAAGATGAGTTCAGTTTGACCAATTTTTTTTTTTTTAATAATAAAATTGTAGACTTTTGTTTAGTTGGTCCTTCTTTAAAAAAAAAAAATAAATAAATAAATGTAATAGGCATATTGATTAGAAAATGAATTCGATTTTGCACACGGAACAATAATTCTCCAGCGGTATACATTTGCAGAAAACACTATCTCCAAATTCTGATTCTAGCCAAATCTACCACAGCTACCCGACGAACGTGGCACAATACTGCCAACTTGAAACTATAATCTACTGTCATCGGCGCTGTTTTTCGCCACTGTCTGCCACTACTTATTGTGACTGTGAACCTCTCTTTTTTCTTTTTGTTTTTCTTTGTGTTTTTTAGTTCATTTTGATGCCATTTAAATATAGAACTTGAAGTCTTGAAGTTGAAGTGATATTCTATATGGATAATTTGATTAGAGATTTATTATGTGAATTGTGATGATTTATGATTTATGAAAATTGAGGAATTTGTGATATCTTTGATAAATGATAAATTGGGGAATTTGTGAGATGTGATAAATGATAAATTGGTGTTTGAAATTGGAAAATGAAACTTGATTATACTTAAGTTCAATTTACATTTAATATTTGATATACGTATAATTTTAATACAGATTATGAAATGATTTTTTCAATAGAAAGAATTGTTAATATTATTTAATTAATATTAATAAACAACCTCATTATTGCGGCTGTTAGTTGTCGACGGTTAATAGTCGCCCTATCTCACCAAACATTCCTGGATTCATCACCGACCTAATTAAGATAGTAAACCAACAAAGATGAGGTTAAGACCTCATATTTCTACACATATCTTACAGGTGCCCAAGTATTTAATCTCCTGTCAAACTTTCTTTTGCCACATATTCAAGCAAGATTTGAAGCCAAGTAATTTTTTCTAACAGACTCATGAATAGGTTTCCATCATCAAACTTTCTATTAAGAGGATTACGAGGCCTGCTCCTGCTTCTTTAGACCATATCCAATCTTACACCAAAATTTGCACTATTGTTCATCAAATCTAATTATGTTTTGTTTACGAAAATATTAAATTATTTGATAAATTTTAAAAAATGTAGTACAATTAATAAAAATACCACAGTTAAGAATATTAAATCATCCCATTAAAAATAACTTACTACATTTTAAATCTCGAAATTATGATACGACAAAGTCGACCTAGTATCGTAATTTAATTATCGGAATTCATATATTCGTCCCACAAATGTTCAATTAATGTAGTTTTGTTTTAATTTTAAATAATCATGTTTATTGCATTTTGAAACTGTTTGAGTACTTTTGTTTGTATTCCTACCTCGATTATTATTAATTATACAATTAAAGTCTATTACAAATAATAATAATAATAATAATAATAATAATAATAATAATAATAATAATAATAATAATAATAATAATAATAATAATAATAAATAATAATAATAATAATTAAAATTTATGTATAATATAAAATAACACAAATACTGTTGATATCATTTGACCGTAAATGAAAAAAAAAAAGCGAAAAGAACTTTTACCAAATTTGGTGCAAAACGGTGCAAGTGTATTCACACAACAATATTATTCACTTACAGCATTTTACACAAAAATTGTGCAAAAATTTGGTATTGGGTTGAAGAGGTATTGCACCAACTATTTGATGCAAAATGGTGAAAAATGATGATTTGATGTTATGGTTGGAGTTGCTACTTGTAGCTCACACGTGGTCTCTTTACCTGCTTATGTATACCTAGTACAAAAGAATTTACTACTCAAGTTGCATTGTATGTCGCATGATTCCTCATGACAACATACTATCCATGTTAGGTTGGATGGTGCTATTCATTGTAATAATGGGATAGTCTTGGGTTCCTTTTCCCTCATACGTTGAGGAAGCTTTTTACGAGAAGTTGCTAAGGCGATGCCTCTTTGTCATGGTCTTTCTTTATTGTAATTCCTTGATTTCTAGCAACATGACCCGATACTAAAAATGAGTTCCTTGATAAATAATGGAAGAACCATTAAATTTTAAGAACATAGACTTGGAAAAATTTTATCAAGCTTCTGTAGCATTTTCCAACCGTGCAATGAGTTGAAAATTTATTTTGGCCCAGAAAAGTCCATTTAAAACTGAGAAAATTTAACAAAGATGATAAAATGCATCATATCAGAATTTGGGTTCGCAACAATGAGGTTTGAAGAACGAAAATATTTCTCAAATTTATAAGATTGTATTCCTAGTAACCTTTGGTGCAATTTAACCAAACTACTATAATAAACTCTATGAGCCTCCAATCGAAATGATTTCAGTTCTAGATTATAAAAAACTCATAGCATGTCTTCTTTCAATTGGAATCATGCTAAATTTCAAATTGTAACAATTTGAATTGACGTTCTTAC